AGCCCAGGTGGTATTGGGAGAGGAAGGCTGATGCTCCAAGGCTGCTTTAGAAGGCAAAGGTTTGTCCTTTTGCTGGACAAGGGTCTGTTTCCTACATTTCCTCCTCGGCCTCAGAGGGAGAGAGGCAGGCCAGATCCACCTGGCCTAGTCCTTCCTCCAGTCCATCTGCCATGGTCCAGGCCTCAGAGGGAGAGAAGAACTGCTGGACCTGATTCCATTCCCCACCACCCTTCTGTTCTCCTTTTGTGTCATGCCTTTTTATATTGTAAACCTGAGGGCATGGAACCATCTAATTAACCCTTTGTAAGCCACTCTGGGAGCTTCTGTGGCTGAAGAGCAGGCTATAAATACTCCAAATAAATAAATAAGTGAAGGATATGTAGAACTCTGAAGATTTGTCTTGTCTGACAAAGAATTGATATCTGATACTGAGTTGGGGGCTGTACAGACTGGCCAAAAGGGTCAGCCTAGGGGTGGAGTGGGGGTGTGGCAACTGCACACTGGCTGCCCCGACTCTGCCCTGATGCCATCATCATGCCCAACCAGATGGTGGGGGACATCAGGGGGCTCTTTTGGCACAGCATTCACACATGCTGTCCCAAAGGACCGCTGAAAAGCCACCGCCACCATGGCAAGGGCAGCTTTTTGACTCTCTAAAAATGAGTGACATTTGCCAGTTCTTTTAGAGTGGCAAAGCACCAGATCAGGTCTGTAGTGTGTGGTTGCCACATTCCCAATACGGCAAGGAAAAGGTGGTGGGACGCAGCCCATTAGGGGCCATCTGTTCAGCCCTTTGGTGGATCTTACTATTTCAAAGCAGCTCAGAACAAGAGTATGCCTGTTCAGTCTCTCTCCATTTTTATGGTTGAGAGGAGGAACTCTTTTATTCCCCATGTCTCCCTGACCAGGGAATTCCATCATTGCGAGGGCTCCCCCTCCATGCACGTATCCATTTCAACAAACTATGTAAAATATTATGTATCTAAGAAACTCCATTGCTGTCTCATCCTTATCCCACTGTGAGATATAATAACTTGTTCACTAAGAAAACCTTGACTTGACCTTTCCCTCCTGACAGAAATATTTGCTATGCCTGCATCCCACTTGCAGTTGACAATGCTTCTGGTCTGGCTGTATCATGGCTTGCTTGGTCATTTGAGGTTAGGAATTTTATAAGAAACAGTGTGAGGGCCTGCAGGGCAAAGAAGGAGGCTAAGATCAGAGCAGAAAAAGTCATGAGTCATTCCTTTATAAATGCCAGGTGCTTCTGCTACTGCTATGCCAGCTTCTTAATAAATCAGGACACATTGCAGCAGTAGCTCTGCCCAAAGCTGACCCAGCTGAAGAAGCACAGTTGGAGAAAAGGCACGTTCCAAAAATAAAATTCCAAGGATGCCTTCTTTTAAAACTTTCTGTGGTATCAAGCTCAAGAAAAGACAGACACCTGTTCCAAAAACACAGGTAATTTTGAAGATAACCGGTTGCAGCAGCATGATCCTAGTGAAAAGTGAGCCTAAGGAGATTATTCTTTCTCATCTTTTCCGCCTGAGCTAGATGCAGGATATAAATGTTAATACATATATTTTATTGCACACCTCTGTGCCCAGACAAGAAGCACCCCATACCCAAACCAGACTTCTCCCACACTTTTTGACAGAAAAGGATTTTCCCATTATTTGCAAACTGCGGGAGAAGTATGGATCAGGTACAGGCCACCATGATTTGGTAAAGGATACCTTCTGCCTGGCTATGGAGGTGTATGATAAAAATCTGCATATTAAAGTTTACATCCTGCACCTAGCTCAGGAGGAAAGGACAAGATAAGGCAGTACGATAATCTCCATAGTCGTGTTGAATTTAAAAAAGTAACTAATAAATAGACCAGGAGGTAGTCTCTTCCACAGATGAAATTTTACTCTACATGTTCAGTAGAACTGAGGAAACAAGGATCAAGAGCTCATTCATAGAGGCCCTAAGCAGACGACTAATAAAGTCGTCTTCTGGGCAGAG